TCAGGTGATCAATCAGAGGTTCAGGCCATGATTCAGCAGTTCCCATACACCCTGCACAAACTCTGCACCCCATCCCTGTAATCTGCACAGCAGCTGGAGTACTACAAAAGGGCAGCCCTCATCACCAGGGCATAAGGCAAACCTGCACGTAGCCCACATCTATTTTGAATTGTTTTAGTGAGTGTGCATGTGTCCACACCAAAGGAAGGGGAAGAAGCCAGTAGTTTCCATTCACCTAATGGAAAGGCTTCATTTAATTTCAGAGTAGAGTCAAAGCAGCTACATGAAGCATAAAATCCCACTGTCGGGGCGAGCGGAAATTTCTGTCTTTTCCCTCCCACCCACCAGAGTCAATGTATATCTAGGCAAAGAAGTAACAGATGATGGAAACTCATCTGAGCCATCCCCATATTAGTAAGAAAAGAACTATCCTGGGTCGCAAGTGTTAAAATTGTCTCACATAGGCCACATGTGTCAGGCACAAGTTTAGATAGAGAACATAGCAGGGTGCTGGTATAACACTACTGTTATGTATCTAAACAGAGGTTTTCATAGGGAGAGATCTCAGAATGATTAAAGTTTCACAATTACTAATGTTGCATTAAGGCGAATGATGGCAAAATTCATCACAAATGAAGCAGTACGTATTCAAGACTGCGCCAATAATCCAACTCATCCAGTCAAACCTTTGCAAGAAGGAGCCAACAGTCACACGGGATAGCTGGTAGCATCTAAGGTAGCGCAGAAACTGCTAAATCGAGTCTAGGTTAAGACAACTTACCAGCCTGTAGCAGCTTCTCTTGAAGGAAGTATCTTCTCTAGGACGGGCCCAGTTTTCTGATACTCAGACAAACTTGTCTTCATGAAAACCTACAGAGCCTCTAGGCCCCTACCACTAGCCAGCTCCTCTGCCCTGGAACACCCCTTTCTCCCCAGTGCTGGGGGAATCAAACATCAGCCAACCACAATATCAGCTCCCAATTGCCCAGACCCTGCCTCCCCAGGGAGGGACAACATGTCAGCTCTCATAGCTCCAGCAGCCCTCTTTTAACCAAGAGAGGAAGGACAAAATGCATTCTCTCCAGACCACAGACTATAATGCCTCCAACAAAGGCTTTGCCTTCCCAGACCACAAGTTTCTTAGCAGAAATGCTCGTTACCTCAGAACATCAGTGAGCAACAAGACACCCCTCAAGCAAGTTACCCCCCAAAGGAGCTGAGTCCTGGGACATCCCCAGACCTAGCTGGGTGTCCCCCCTAGCCCTTCCATCACAAAGGTAAGACCAAGCAGCAATTTCACTTCAGGAGGACTCCGTGATGGAGGCCTCCCCAGTCAACAGTACTTCACATCTCCCAACAAACTCAATCCTACAGTACAGCTCAACATTTATTCCACGCCTACCTATAAGCTGCAAACTGGCTGTTCCTGAGATAAAGGGCAAACACTCAACTGCTGTCCAGCTATATCTGCATTCCCTTCTCTCCAGGAACAAATCAGCCTCCCACACCACCACAGCTCCACCTGCCCCTAGAGCCCCACCTGTGCCCACCAAAAACAGCCTTGCTTGCCTGCACCAGTTGCCCAACCTTCCCCATGGTCACCTGCACAACACAGAGCTGACATTGAGGAGAAACCACTGAACTTCACTCCAAGAGCTCAAGGGCTGCTATGTAGCTGGAGCAAAGGAAAATGTGAGAACCTTTGTCACGATTTAGCTGTTACAGGAAAGCTCGCGGATTGTATACACTAAGAGAAGAGAGGGAGAACAGGTGTGCCATTAGGGCAGGAAAGAAGTAAAGGATATTTCAGGGTTCCTTTCCACAAGCACCTATTAACCTGCTGCTGCTCTCGGGAAGAAGGAAGAGGTGTGATGTGGAGGTTAGGAAAACTAATGGGAGCTAGGCCTTGGGAACGTTCACCCGTAAAATGTAAAAAAAAAAAAAAAAAAAAAAAAAAAAAGCCTCAAGCAGGTTAGCATATTTGAGCTTGGAGATTTAACACGTTATTTCTCTTCTAGCATTTTTATACCTAAAAATGTTCTCCAGCAGCAAACATCTGTTTCTCAGTGCAGGACATTCAGGAAGCAGCAGGTATAGGAGGCATGTTTTAAAAGTTGGCAGGAAAGAGCCACTTGAACAAGGCCACATCTGGTAGTGGTGCAGTTGCATGTGATAAACTGTGTGAGATTCATCATCAGAAATGTCACTATAAAGTATGATGGAGATGAGATTTAAGGACAGGGAACAGAATGAAACCTGTTCAGCCTATCGGTTTGTTGTTGCCCAGACTCAGCTGAAGCACAGAGGCACCTGCGCCCCTCTGAGCTGGCAGGGACAGGGGCAATCTGCATTACTTTGCAGAATCACAGAATGGGTTGGGTTTAAAGCCTTAAAGCCCAGCTAACCCCAACCCTCTGCGCTGGCAGGTTGCCCAGGTCCCCATCCAGCTTTGCCTTGAGTGCCTCCAGGGCTGGGGCATCCACATTTTCTCTGGGCAGCCTGTGCTGGTATCTCGCTGCACTCAGAATGAAGAATTTCCTCCTAACAGAAATGGTAGGGGAACTGCAGAGCCATGTTTCCCCTTGGGCAGGCTATGGCAAGTCTCACTGGCTGAGCCTTCTCTGGGGTTAGGAAATGTGGTGGTGTCTGCATCACAGCCTTGTTTCCACCAGAAGCAGCTAAGGTGCCCCAGCAGGCATAATGTTGCTGCTGCAGGCCCACAGTGGAGAAAACCTATCTAGATGATTCACACCAAATCCACATGGCTCTTGTGCTGACTGGAGAGCTTGTAGTTTGGATCTGATCAGGTGGCAAAGGTGAATTTGGGTTGTCCTGGATGGCTGCTGGTTGCAGGAACACCATGAGAGCAAACGTACAGTGCTGGAATGAGAAGGTGGCAGAGCGGGTGTGAAGAGATGTGTAAGTGCTCAGGCTGCTTTGGAGCTGCATTCAGTGGTATGAAAGGTTTGGGTTTCTTTCATTTGAAAGCAAAACCCCGCACCAAAAAAACAAACAAACAAACAAACAAAAAAGCAGATAAGGTAAGCTTGGCCTGATACAAACGCTGAGCTGCCTGGGGGTGTACAATGCTGTACTCACAAGTGAACTGTGTGCGTGTGTGGCTGCGCTTCATGCTCAGAAATCTTTAATGGTAATTAGCTGATTTTAATCTGCTGTCAGTGGTCCAGAATTCTCCTTGGTGTATTACTGGGGCAAAAATTTGTCTTTACAGATTCAGGCCTCTGAATCTGCCCGAGGCATTGCTTGCAGAGGGTATTCAAAGTGCACGCATATACTTAAGTGTGCCCCTCTTCCTGGAGCGACTTGTCCTTCCTGAAGGGAAAAGCAGCTGGTAAGAGCGTATCTCCAACAGGAGAGAGAACCTCAAGGTTTTATCTACCCTTTTTTCCCTGCCAACTCAGCTGATTCTGCTACACAAACGAGTATCTGTGCCTCTTGGGTCATGTACTCTGAAAGGAGCATTTCCTAAGTCGAAGGGTTTCTTTCCAGAATCATGCAGACAAATTTGTGCACAAGTCATATCACATAGGTGTTTCTCAACCACATTAGCAAGGGGCTTCACCTTCTGAAGAAAATCTATCCCTACTGCAAACCAGACCGTGAGGTCAGAGCAGCGTTCATGTGCAGCACTATGCATTTTCATAGACTCATTAAGGTCTAAGATCATCAAGTCCAATACCAGCCCATCGCCACTATACCCACTAACCGCATCCCTCAGTGCCACAGCCACACAGTTCTTGAACTCCGGGGTCAGTGACTCCACCACCTCACTGGGCAGCCTGTGCTGATCCCTGACCGCTCTTTCAAAGAAGAAATATTTCCTAATATTCAACCTGAACCTACCCTGGGGCAAGTTGAGGCCACCTCCTTTTCTCCTAAACAAGTAGGAACTTATTCCAGCAAAAAGTGACAAACAAACTGAATACTACTAACACAGTGATCCCCACTGCTACCCAAAGCACGAAGACTTTAGGGACTTTCTCACAAGTACATGGGCCACCTCAAATGCTCACCACAGGGATAGTCCTCTTGCACCTAGGGACTGAGTTCCTTTAGGGATCACAGGGGAATGAGAAGCAGTCTAGCTTCTAAGTTAGCATCACATGCATTCAGGCACCAGGGAGCTCCTGCTGGCCTTAAGTGCTGGTCAGCACTGCAATGGAGGTCTCCAAGGCACCAAGTTAAGGCAAGAAATAGGTCACAGGCAGGCAGTCCTTATTCACCAGCAGGTCAGCTGACAAGCACCAGCTAAATCAACCGGAGGAATTATTTTTGTCTGCGTAGATGGCAGTTGTTATTTCAGCACAGTCTCTGAAAAGACCTGTACCATCACTGCCCTTGTTCTGGGCAGGAGCTGGGAGCTGCCCTCCTCTGAGTGCCTCAGTGGGCTGCCTGCCAGAGGAAACATGAGGGGACATCCTGCAGGCCTTGCAGGCCCTCCAAGGTGTAAGTTCTGGCTCACAGAGGTGACACTTGCAATGACTGATTGTCAAACAACACCCATGCAGACCAACCCCAACTACCATTCAGTTGCAGCTTTACCAAATCAAGGAGGAAACAAAGAGGGGTAAAAAACAGAAGGAGCAGATGAAAAGAACCCAATAAATTTCTCTGTTAAAGAAATGTGGAGGTAAGCACTTTATGTTCCCCTTAACTATTGGGACCCATTGACTGGGTTGTGAAAAACTCTCTGGTTCTTCACCCAGAGCCAGAAGCTGCGCTGTGCAACCAGAGCCATTTGTGAAACCACTTTGTGGAAGCTGGACATACTGTAGGCTCAGTATGTTTGGTTGGCTGTGCGGTGTTTCAGCTTTCCAATCCACCCCCAAAAACTGAAAACTAAGCATTGAGTTTATTTAAGAATCTTTACTCTTTTTTTTTTTTTTTCCAATTTAAATTATACTTCCAAAGTACAATTAAAAAAAAATACAATGAAATAACACTATCTTCTACAAAATATTCTAAAAAATAATGCACTTACATCATATACACAATTTCCTTTCACAATAAAATAGGAGAGCTTAGACCAATATTTACACTATTGACAGAGAACACGGTTGCACAGCTATCTGCTGCTGGTGCAGTCTCTTGATGGAGTACCTCTGAGAGACCGTAGTCTGCAGTTGCACACAAATCCTTCTGCAGGGTAAAAACCCTGACACAATCCTTCTGGGTACAGGGACCTGCCCATGAGGTTCCAAGGAGACTGACATGGTGGCAAATATTGTCATCTTCTGCTTAAAGCTACCACCATAGCTCATGCGCACACAATGAAGAGTTATTAAGGAATTCCCTGATTTAAAACTTTTGCTCCAGTACATTAGGCACTTCGTTTTAAAAGTTATCTCCTATGGCTTATGTAGAACAAACCATTCTCCTCAGGATCTGAACTTGCCAGGTAGTGGGAGAAACAGACAAGTCCAAGGGCACCCTTTGTGCCAATGAGTTAGTCTGCGTTAGAAATTTAAGTCGTCTTGTTTTATCAAGTGTTTTATCAAGACCTGGCCATCCCAGCAAGTCAAGCAATGTATTTTAAAGCTTAGTATATCTGCACTTTTTCTCCAGCTATCGGGGACTAAAGTTTTCCCCCTCACAATAATTTAACTACTGACACCCATGTTGTTCAATGTGCCACTGGGTGACAAATCCTACACATCATTGTCTAAAGAAATACACTGCAGATTGACAGATTATTTACATATCTTAATGTGTAGACAACAAAGATGCAACTTAAGAAATAATAAATACAATTCAACAGAGTATAACATTGAAAAAAAATATATATTAGAATGATTCTCCAGGTATTGAATTCCCTCCCTTTAAGGCCTGAGCAAGAGATCATAAAAGATCGTGATGTTTTTCAATGAGTTGAAATGGTTTTGGATAGGACTTCACATTAGACACTGGCTTTTTGAAATAAAGATATTTAGCAAAGCTGACAGGTGTCTGAATATGATCAAACAGCAAAACTTACCCTGAAAAGGAATCTTTGGGGTAAAACAATTTAGACCAAATGATAATACTGTAATTTATTAGGAGGAAAACAGTTTTTGCAGATTGTCTCAACATTAACTCAGCAGCAAGGAAACAAGCATACAGTTAAGAACACAACGTATCCGTGAGACAAATACGCATTAGTGCACATGATTTTCCAAAAACTTTCATCCTCAGCTACACTTGTGCAGAATTCAGAATGCTTCTACCTAGGTGGTTAATAACAGTCTAATATGGCTATTCCTAGGTTTGCCATTAAGAGGAAAAAAAAATAATAAGGAGTAACTTACTCAAGAAAGTTGTTCAGATGCCAAACTTCAGGTCCAAATATATCAGAACATTGAGAAATTTGGAACCTAAGTCAAAATCTTAAAAATTAGACCTATCAAGCTAGAAAAAAAAAAAAAAGAATGAAAAGCAGTAGACCTGCTCTCAGAATTGCACGCTCACCAGATTTGTAAACTCTGCATGAAGTTAATGATGGTCTGTTCACTATCAGAGACACAACTCGGATGCTCTACGCAAAGCAGTGCAGATGCTTTATCTATAATTTCCTTCATGTCTCCTCTTCCTCTTCCTTGAGGATTAAGCATTAAAAGTAATTCAGTAGCTAAAAAAGTCAGTTCTAAAAGTAGACGTCTGGGTTTACATGGAAGGTGGGGTGATGGGCGTCCACATGGATGCCAGCCGACTGTGTGCGGAGGCATCGTACTGGCTGTCAGGAAGGTCTGCAGGTGCTCCTCCATCGTACAGTGGGGATGTGGAGGTGGTGGCAGTGACAGAATGTGGGAGAGCGGTGTAGTGCACCGGAGAGCCGCGCAGGAACTGGGAGCTCAGGCCGTTGGACATCCCGCCTGACTGAGATGCTGGGGTGATGGTGCTGTTACTCACAGACCATAAGTTTGGGTACTGACTGGAGGAGGGAGAGCGACAAATTCGACAGGTTATTAGCGACTGCGGGTTCTGTTGGCCGGTGCTCAGTTTACCACGTAGCCCCAGGCCAGTTTCCCTTATCCTTCTAGTCCATATCAGCACTCTACTCAGCCTACTGTCTCCCTCTCTCTCCCCCCCAGATATGCACACAAACAAATATATGTGTATATATTTAAAAAAAAAAAAAAAAAAAAGTAAAATAGAATTATTATTCTTACTTTACAGGGGCTTAAACAAAAGAGATGGTAGAAGTGCTTTCCTCAAGGTCTCACAGTTCCAGTTCTCCAGATTTTATCTACTGGACAACTCTTAATTCATCAACTTAAACTCAGTGGACTTTACAACTTTCCAAGTATGTATCCTGGGGTCAGACATGGAAAGACACGCCAGGAGTATCTGTTTACTTGATAAATGCACGTTCAGGGCCAACATTTCTGTTCAGCAAGTCAGCTGTCTTATACTGGTTATTAGTACGTACTCTAACAGCTGAGTGCCAGTGTGCATGGCTCAAAGAAGGACGTTTTCCACAAAGTAAATGGTAGATGTGAGCTGCTAAAAAAGATGCCTAAACATCAACCTTCTGTGGTTAACAGCAGAGATTTTACCACCTCAGCTGTATTGCTTTGAATTTTCAAGCTCATGAGACTGAGGGTCTAAATCATGGAAAAGAATCACAGAACCATTTAGGTTGAAAAAAAAACCTTCAAGATGACCAAGTTCAACCACAACCTCTGCTAAAGGACTGAAGCTTTAAGATAACTAAGTACAAAGAGGAGAAAAGATGCCTTTATACAGTCTATTGACAGTATGATTTGATGCTATGCTGGCTTATTGAACAACACCTACATAATTAATTACTCCCCCAGCCACTTCCTCATCCTCCATGCTGCAGTTCTCTGCCCCCTTTGTAGCACAACTAGGGTTTGTGGAGATGAATGGGCAAACAGTGACTGACTAAAATGAAACAGATCAAAAAGAAACTTTTCAACTCCACTTTGTTTAAAAGCAAAATGAGATGAAACTTAAAAGAACATCCTCAAATTCAGTGGATGCCTAGGTGATTTTTGTTCTATAAAATATTGCTGTCACCAGTATCCATCTACATTTCCAAAGCTGTCTTGTGTCTGTTTCATCTATCTGCTCTCTTTGCACAAAGTTCCTTCACAGTGCCCCCCCTAATGCTGACGATTCGACATGCAGCCATAAAGATTTTTCAATTTGATGGTGAGCCTCTGCCTCCTTTTACAACCTTCTCTTAGTGCTACTAAGGGATGAATTCCTACCTGGAGCTGGTAGCAGTGCCAGTGCTATGGCTCATGGGCAGCATAGTTGTGTGTGTGGGAACTCCCAGAGAGGACCAGTTGTCATGGGATTGGAGCATGGGAAGGCAGGCAGAGGAGTTATCAGCATAAGCTGCTGAGAAAACAAGCAATCACTTCAATGCACTAGAATCAGAACAAACAACAATCTTTTATTCAAACGTCATGGATCACTTTAAAACCCTCTCCCACTGTTGGCTTGCAAAAAAGTAGTAATTAAAAAAATGAAATGCCCCCACAAAGAAAAATAAAGTCATCTACTGGTTGTATCAAGCTTACAGTTTCAGCAGCATTGCTGATTGCTTAGCTTATAACTGCAAAGTCCTACTTCTCCAAAGGATCTACACACACAAAAAAATGCTGTCTTCAAACCACCTGCTCATTCTGATCATGCTTCCCTACTCTGTCAACAGAAAGGCTCCTTATTCACACCATTGACATCTCTCTTCCAAGGCACCTTCTTTATCACCATCACCTACGCTGGCAATAACAGTCTGGCAGCCCTGATAACATGCAGTCTGGATTACATATCATAGTTTTGAGCTGTGAATGCCACCACAGAGTGATTGGATCATGGCTTAAACCACACAGCGGGTGATCAAAACTGGTCATCCAACACAGCAAAGCCTTTGAAAAGCTATAAAGGGAACCCTAAACAGGTCCACAGAGCTAGAAGTTGCATTGCTAGCTGGCAAAGGGAAAGAAAAAAAATGGTTTCTTGCTGAAAACTTGGGAAAGAAGAGGAACACTGGAAGTGTTTTGTTCTTTCAATTTATTTCAGGTCACCAAACTTGCCCATAATGCCCAGATGTAAGGAAAGCCAAAGGAAAGCTTGTTTTCCTCTTTAAAATAACCAACAAAGCTGCACATATGTTTGACCAGGCAGCACCTAGAAGGCTATGTATTAATACACAATCCAAAAACATTAAGCATCTTTCTAGATGGAAACCTTCAGCATAGGCAAAAGCTTGTTACCAAGCCTTTGCCAGAGTAAGGGGAAAAAAAATCATTATTAAAAATGACCTCAACTTCTGTTCCTTATGCACTCCTGCTTTAAGGCACTAAGCCTTAAGCTCCTTGGCTGTTTCTGAGCACCACTGATAAACAGCTTTGCAATTCACTCAGTTCCACATTGTTAACATGATATATCCAGTTGCGACACACTTTTTGAGGACAATCTTCATGCATTAATATAAACCACGGCAATAGGTAAATAAAACTGATAGAACCAGGCCCTCAGTTATTTGCTTAAACATGTTAACAACAAGTAATCCCATTACCAGAAGTGGACATAAATGACTTCATTTCATCATATCTCCTACTAACAAATGAAATCCTCACTTTCAAATTTAAAGTAAGTTTAACCTCATCAGTCATCAAGAATACATAGCAAAACCAGTACAATACAGTCTAACAATTTAGGGACCAAAAGTTCTATATAGCCTCACTTTTCCACTGCAAAGACTGGAAATGCACACTCTCTGCCGCTCTTTCTTTGCAATGCTACCCCCCTTCAAAACTCAACTGGAAAGCAACCGCCATTTCCTGCAGCATCAGTCTAGATGTACACTGCTCAAAGCTTACATCCCATCTTCAAACAGCTGCAAAATACAACTTACTTGGTGAGTTGTTTCTATGGGTGTAGGGATTGGGGTAGGGGGCAGAACGGTGATTCCTCAGCGGTGAGTACCTTTCACAGCTGTGAGCAGGGGAGAGAGACAGGGCTGCTCCAAACTGAGGATGAGGATTGGCAGGTGGGCACAGAGCCCCAGTCCCAGGAATAAGCCAACTACCTACTGTGAGAGAGCAAGAGTTATCTACTGTATGTATGCAATGCAACCGGACGCTGAAAGAACAGCATGGTGACAAGGTACGTAAGGGATCCAAAAGGAAATGCATGCTCATGAAAGGAGAACAAGTCGTAATACAGCTGAGAAGTCTGGAATTTTACAACTTCTCAAATGGTCTTATGAAGGAAAATCAGAAAACAGCACAGAAAAAGCCATGCATCAAGTTAACGTTTGTTAAAATTCCCACCTAATTACAACCACAGTAAAGTAAGGAAACACTGAAACAGTTAAACTCTCCCTTAGGTGGGAAGGATGTGCTCAGTAACAGTGTAATTGTCAGTTGTAAATTGCTCTTTTGGGGGTCTCAACATATAGTTAAGATCTGAGGTTTCTCAAAATGCTAAGAACTCTCACAAACTAAGCCTCTTTGCTAAAACAGAGTAATTCCTACTATGGCTGAACTCCTCCTTTTATAGGCTGCAGACAAATTTTGGCAACAACCCTTAAAACACAGACCATTGAAACACTACTGCTTTTTATTCATCTAAGAGAACTTTTCAAGCAAATGCCCCTATTTGAATTACAGAAATACAATTCCAGCAAGTTTCTGCTGTATTTTGAAATAAGCATTAATTTCCATATCTGTATGAATACCCCTATCCTTGGCTGTCTTTTCAGAAAAGAAGGTCAATGCGAGATCCTGTTAGAGAATGCTTAAGATAACAGTGCTGCCTTTACCACACCTTTACATATCAGATGTTTATACACCCATTAGACTGCACAAAGAGCAAATTTGAAGATTGGTGACGTTATCTCCTTATGAACTAGCACACCAACCAGCAAACACTGCTCTCCAAGTTTTGCTAATAGAAGAATTCAGAAGTATATTTACAAAGAAAAATGTAAGGAAACATACGCTGCGAGTATCCAGACTGCTGGTTGTCTCCCACTTCCTCCATCATTTCTTTGTGATCATTTCTACAAAGGAAAACATGCCAAAAGTTAAGGATATGTTTTCACAAACCTACACAATAAATCCATAAACTTCAGAATTGAGTTAAGAGCTCTCACCTTTCCTTTGCATCAAGAAATGCCTTCGCAAATGGATTGTATTTAATTTTTAAAGCTGTGATCTAAAAACAACAGATATCTTAATTATCATACAGAAATCAAAGACTTGAATGAGGACTTTCCAGTGAAGTCAGGGAAGTCATAGATTTTTGAAGAACTAAGATTAGACCCACATACACCAATTTAACAGCATCTAATGTCTGAAGTGTTAGCAGTGGGCTAGGAATGGGTCCCACCACCTCAAATCTATGTGACCAAAGTGCCCACATTTATCTATCAACTGAGGAAACAGTTAAAGAAATTAGTACACTACAGGGCTGAAAAAAGGTTTAAGTTTCAGGACAGAGCAGAATGGGCACCAATAAATCTCAAAAAGATTGACAGTTTACAGATTCATGATACACAGACGAGCCTTTTGGCTAACATCAAGACCAGTTTGGAGAACAGCATGACCAGCTATTTTACAATGCAATTGAAAACTGCAACTCTGTTTCATACCACGTTGGTTTGTCCCAAATAATCTATTAAACTTACTTTGCATATATACTGGGACAGGAATCAGAACTTGTGAAAACCCCAGGCACGCATAGTAAGACATTTAGCTTCAGATTCAGCACAGAGAGAAGTGAAAGCTGTGGCACAAGCCCCATCGGTTTGCTGGGTAATAACTGGGTAATGCACTTTGCCACCTGGAAGGCCGAAAGCACCAGAGGCCTCTGCCCGCCACACGTACCTCCTCGTTCTGGTAAGCCGTCACAGCGATGAACTGGGTCTCGGGGAAGGAATGGCTGGTGATCATCCGCTGAGGGCCGCCCACCCGCACGATGTGGATGCGGGGCTCGTACTTGTGCAGGGAGTTCAGCATGATCTGAGAGCAAAGGGATGCACCAGGTGAGTGTGGACCACAGACAGGCACAGCGCTTCCATGGCCCGCGCTTGGGCTGATGGTCAAACTAGGTGATCTTAGCGGTCTTTCCCAACCTCAATGATTCTACCCACCTACCTGCCCTCCGCCGTTGAGCTTGTTGGTGAGCTTGACCTTGCTGAAGGAGACGGGCGCCTTCATCCAGTGGGCGCCAAAGTTGGGCGAGTCAGGGTGGATGTAGACGCAGCTGGGCGCCTGCGGCTCCGGCTTGCCGCCCGGCACCCACTCGCCATTCACGTACTTCCAGCGGTGCCCGTCTGCCGCCACGAAGTCCAGCAGGAAGGAGTACATGGCGTTGGGGTCCAGCCCCGACACGCTCACCTTCAGCACCGGGAACATCCTCCTGCGGGGTGACACCGTGGCGCGAGGGCCCGATTCTGGTCCCCTCTCCCCGTCCCCCGGCCCTCCGTCCCACCGCCCGGCCGCTACCTGCCGTTCTTGGTGACGATCATCTCGTTGGTGAGCTCCTTGAAGCGCAGCCACAGCTCGCCGTCCTCCAGCGCCACGCGCAGCTCGCGCTCCGTCGGGTCTCCCTTCTCGCTGCCCGCCTGCAGCTCGCTCTCCACCGCGCTCAGCAGGTGGTCCACTCGGTACGCCGGCGCCTTGCCCGCGTCCTCCGGGGAGCCCATGGCCACCCCCGAAGCCCCCCCCCCCTCCCCGAGCGCCGCCGGCGGGGCCCGGCTGCCTCCGCCCGAGCTCGGCGGCCCCTCGCCCGCTGCCTCCGGCCGGGGCCGCCGTTATACCCCGCCATAAACGCCCCCCCGTGACATCACCGCGCCCGCGGGGAGCCGCCGCCGATTGGCGGAGCGCCGCTTTGATGTGCCCGCCCGGGCCGCCGATTGGCTCCCCGCGGCCATATCAGAGCGCGGCCCGCGGGGGGGCGCGCCGCGAATTGCCGCCCGCGGGACGCGGCGCGGCTGTTTGATGCAAATCCCCACATGTTGGCACCTCCATCAAAGCGCCGGGCCCGGCCGCCGCGCCGCGGAGGAAATGGCCCATCGCGGCCCCGGCTGCGCCCCACTCCCGCTGCCCGCGTCCGGCCGTAGCGCCCGGCCCCTTGCAGGCGGAGCTCGGCGCGGGGAGGGGCGGAGGATGCTCCCGGGATGGGCATCCTCGGGACTGCGGCGGTGCGGGGGAGGGAGACGGTTTATTGCCCTCTGCGAGCATCTCTGAGCAGAGGGCGAGAGGTGACAACGAGCAGGAAATCGTTCAATGGGCGCTCCTTGAACAACAACAACAACAAGTGACTAGAGGAGCTGAGGAGAGGGGGGGAAACGGCACGGGGCGAAACCAACTCTCTGTTCACAAACACGCGCACCCACTCTGCCGCCGCCCAGCGCCGTCGCTGTGAGACGTCCCGGGACGGTGCCGTAGCCCCGCTACCCGCGCCCCGTCTCAACTCTGATAGGGCCGCCGTGCCCGGCAACGAGCGCCGCGAGGCCGACAGCGGCGATAACCACCCGCACCGGAGGCGACGGGGCCAATTCGGTGGGAAAGGAACGATCCCGAAAACGAAGAGGGGGCAAAGTCCACCTGCACGTGTATTTGAGTGAGCTGCCCTTAAAAACGGGACGGCAGCTCTTCCAAACGAGCGCTCCAGGCTGGGCTATCCCCAGCGCCGGCGGTGCGCTCCAGCAGCACGCACCGGCAGCAAGGCTTCAGCGGCAGCCGCGCTGCGTGAGTCCTACCGTGCGCCGAGCACTCGGCTCATCGCATGGCAGCGAATCCACCTCCATTTGTAGACATTCCCCCATTTACTTAAAACGCAGCAAGCGGCCGTGCCGCTCAGCCCAGACATAGTGTGCGCTCAGCTGAGGTTGCCGACCCAGAAGCAGCCTGGCTAGCTTTAGAACTCGAAATGACCGTGATCAAGTTTTATGAAGTTATACATAATGTTTCCAACGGGTTGAAAAAAAAAAAAAAAGTTACCCTTCAGCTTGCATTCCTGATGCTGTTATTTTATTTCCTTCTCCTTTCTGATCTTAATTGCACTTCGGTTGCTCTTAAGAGAGAAAACTCCCCGCTCCCAGAGCCTTTTCACTGCGAGCTGCAGTGCATGACAGTTTACAGCCAAGAAACTTCCTCCAACCGAACAGTTGTAAAGATTGCCCCTTTGTAGCGATGCCTTCCTTCTCGCAGGGGGAGAGCAGCCCCAGCTCTCGGAGAGCCCGGCTGCCCAGCCCAGCGCCCGCCCCTTGCTGCCCGCTGCCGCTTTCGCTTACAATGGAGCGGAGCACCGCCTGGCGCTGCCGTATTTCATACGGGCACAGGATATTCCTGGTCCCAAAGGGTCGTCGAGTCCAGCTCCTGGCTCCATATGGGACAACCCAAAAGGCCAAACCGTGTGGCCGGTCCTCTTCGTTCATTAAGAAAAGTGTATGGAAGAAAAATGAATAGATTCCACGTGATATCCATGTAAAAGAGATGGAGTTTTTTTCCATAAGGCCATTGCTTTGGCCTGGACCTTAAGGAGGGCTGTCTTCTTGGAACTACCGATTAGTGATGGCAATTCCCTTTGCATACAAAGCTGCCTAATTCCATTTCATTCTGGAATGTGTGCAAAGCTGAATCAAGAAAATTCCTGAAGTTTATTCTGTAGGAGCTCTTTACGATAACTTAACCTTTTGTAACCCCATCATTCTAACATATATGCCTAAAGAGGAAGTGACAATATGCGAAAACACAGCGTTTTTTACCCATTTTAAGTTCATACAGTGTGAGCATTGGGATTATCTGGGATAACTGTGTTTCAGATTCCCTGTTTTTTAAAGGTTTTTTCAATATTTAAGAGCTGATTTTCTCCCAAAGTCGTAATTTTGAAAAACATTTTCTTTTCAAGCAGGCTGAAGGGAGCACAGCACGCTGGTTTCGGTTTGTTTTGCTGTCACCCTGTAGCAGGAGGGAGGGCAGTGCAAAGGCAGAATGCCGTCCTGCATTTTCCGAAGGTGGCAAAACTCCCGTTGACTCGGTCAGATCTTTGCTTGAGTACTGCTAAGTACCCTCCCCAGCTCAAACGCTCAGATCCTGAGGTTTCTTTCATGAAAGTCAATGATAGAACTTCCAATGGCTTCAGCGCCCGCTGCACTAAACAGCACCAACCGGGGAAAAAAAAACAACACTAAGCTGAAGCTCAAAGGAAAGCCCTTAAGGGAGAGTCTGGCTAAAAATGGATGACATGAGCAGGCTTGAATGCAGATTACTTTTGATCCAAACTCATAATTTTTAGATGAAGTATTCTTTTCAGCATCTTCATAGAATCATGGAGTTGCTCAGCTTGGAAAAGACCTTGAAGATCATCAAGTCCAACCTCCATCCGACCTTATTGCCCTAACTCTGCAACACTAGAGATGCTTAACCAAGGAATCCTGAGCAGGAGCAGGCAGTCGGAGCCACCCACCTCCCTTAGTCGAGCACTGCTTGAAAAACCACAGATAAAGCAGACCATGGGGGGCTGCAAAGAGGCATAGTTGCAGAGTAAGAGGTGCTGTTTAGTGCTTTATCCTGACAGAACAACCTAGAGACCAATGAACGAGCTAGCAACCACAGACCACTGAGCATGTGTTCTACTTCAGAGCCCGTAGGAGTTTGGTGGCACAAAGTACTTCCCTTGTAGACATCCTTGCAGGAGTCCCACTGAAAGACCCTGTATAAACTTGTTTTCTAACTCCAACCCACATAGTCTCCAAAGTACACTGAAATGAACATTTCTTGCTCATCTTGCTCAACAAGGTAAGCTAAAAAAAAAAATGAACATTCATCTTAAATACAGCAATCCTGAGATTTTCTGACATTGTTACTAGTAACCAAAGCAACACAGTTTAATTGATATTCAACTGTCAACTTTTGCCCTAAGCACTATTTCTCTTCATCAAAGAACGCAGTGCTAAGAATCAAACAGGCCATATTCTATTGCTTTAATACCAATAACAGATCTAAGGGCAGTAGGGTAGCCACAATCTCCTTCCCCTGCCTCTGAACACTTCATGGAGATGATGCTGAAAACAAACTGGGTGCTTCTCAGCTTCATAGTAACAAGGCCTCTAGAAAAAAAGTCTTTGTAATGGCAGTATTTAAAAAAAAAAAAAAAAAAAAACTTTTTCCTTTTTTTTTTTTCTTCCCCTACAGTTTAAAAACTTTTCCTCCATTCTCCATCAGTGCTCCACACGCAAGGTAAACACTGTTCATAAATAAGGATAAGGTTTTTCCTACTCAGCTAGCAACTTGCAACTACATCTTAATTGTCTTGTCCTTTGCAATTAGCATTTGCCTTGAATGCTGTGTGAGGGCTTGCAGTCTCTTAAGAGCCCTTTATTGCCAAGATTACTTCCCAGTTTCTTGCTAGGTAGCTCCTCCATCCATACAAAATAAAAACACTTGGACAGATTCCTATGAGAGGTTACCAGAATTGAATTATCTGCCTGTTTCACTGGGGTTGTAGCTACTGTTAGAAATAGTAAGGAAGCTACTTGACACACAACGTGGTGGGTTTTTTTTTTTAATTTCATTTAATAACCTCTGACTAATACCAACAGTAGTTGTAAACTGTATCCGGTTTTTCATCATGTTGATTAAGTTGGCTCATAGGAAAGGACTGGAACTTAATTCAGCATGGATATAATTTGGACTCACAGGTTGGATTCTTGTACATCACCTGACCCAACTTTTAGGCCCCTCCAATTTCCCCACATCTTTGCAAGATGCTCTCTACCCTATCTGTCAACACCTACCTTTGCCTGCACTTGTTTTACCACTGAGGACTTTTCCACAGCTGATATGTATTTTTTTTTTTTCCACTAGTATTTTTTAAGAAAGTGAAAATCCCTCAAACTCATAAAGTCACCACCATGCTTTCCTGTGAATCTTCTCTTCTATTATGTATTTGGTATCCCTGTTGTGTGCCATCCCTGACAGGTCTGCTAAGAGGAAAATATAAGGTAGAAGGATTGCATGGAGTAGAAAAATTGGACTGATGCCAATGATTCTAAATCTCAACAAAGTCTAAATGAATAAGCTGAAATGCAGATAGAAGAGAAATGACTGACACAGCAGCTCCTTTAAGCTCCTGTTGGGCTTCCCAGGGAGACAACAGGCAATGCCAACTCCTTCTTGTCAGGCAGAACTAAACCACAGAGCAGATTCTGGGACATACAGAGCAGGCTGTGCTTCTCTGCTTCATGAAGAATGCAAAATGTTTCAAAATGTTCAGTCTTTCTGTGCTAAATGTTACTCATTAAGCTCCAACAAATAGAAACACTTCCTACAGTTCTGTATCTCAGCAAAGATTAAATGGCTCTTGATCACTTTTCTTTCTGCCTTAAGCCACCTGATGAGGTGATCTGGGAAATGTTTGATTTAATCTACAGCACAAGAGACTGGGAGCCATGAGAGCTGATTGTGAGACAGACCCTCCATCTCACCAGAGGCATCTCTACTTTGGTGAGCATCTCTCTTCACAGTAAGAGCATTCCATAGCAATTGTCTTTGGTAATATCCTTATTTTCTCTGGAACCATTTGTAATGAAAGTAAGTATCAGAGAAGTTAATAATGCATAACAAGAAATAATTACTATCAAAACAACAATTCATTACCTTTGTTCTCAGGTAAAGCAATGGCCTGGTTCTCTAATAA